CTACGTGGAGCGCACCTGCTGCCTTGGTGCTATAAGCGCAACTGGAAGGTTTGCGCTACATGCAGTGTCTGCGTGCCCCATATGGGCGCTCGTCATCGCGATCGACGTCAGTTTGTGCCGCGCATCGTCTTGTCTGCCGTCGTAGGCGTGCATCAACCACTCATGGCCGTGTCCTTGGTCGCCTTGGGCTCCACCTCTTCAGCCTTTCCGATCCAGAGAACGTTGTTGCACCTTATGAGGACCTGGCCGAGGGTGCCTGAGCTGACGCCGCCTACGAATTCTTCCGTGTTGGAGAGCTGGATGTTCATGTAGAGGTCGACGGAGACGAGTCTGCCTTTGTACTCGGTCTCGCCCCACTTCAACCTGACGACGATGTCTTTATCGACTCTGCGCATGTGTTAGCGCGTGCTCTGCGAGAAGGGTATGCGACGTACAAGCTTTGGAGCAAAGGACGCGGGTTGAAGGGTGCCACTGCCTGATTGGTGTTAGCTTTGCGCGTGACTGCCGGATGGAGAAGAGAGCTTACAGCCATGTTTGCGACTCCAGTAATGGGCTCGCTGGTGGTTAGAGGTGAGTTTGGTGGTTACAACAGTGATAGTCGCGGTACCATGGCGGCCGTGCCTGCAGCTTTGGAAAGTCGTCGGCAAAAGGTATTGCCGATTGGCCGAGTGCTTCACCGCGGGGAAGCCGCGCGACACAAGATCAAGCTCGGGTGGATTGATGGTGTAGCTGAGTCCAGTCCTCTCACGTGTGTTTCACATCATTGCCGAAACAAGGGACGCATGGCATATCCAATTCTTCTCGTCTTCCACAGCCATGGCAGTACATGGCTCAAGGTGTAGAGCAACGCGACTAGTGGGCGCGCTAAGGATTTATTCCATCTTTATATCATCGAACCATCTGCACCACCTACGACCGGCCAACATTGCACCCCCTTGAGACGACAATCCTGCCGACCAGCTCTTCGGCACGACGCCAAAGCCGCCCACCATCAACTACACCATTGCGCCCACCACGGTGCGCTGTCTCGCCCTGCCGCCCGCGACTCGCTTCTCCGTCGCCCCTCCGTTCCTCGCGCAGCATGCCACGGTAGCAATGCGAGCCATCTGGTCCCGGGCAACTTCGAACCCGGGTACCTGCAGATGCATATCGTGTGTCTCCAATACCACCGCTCTCGCTAGATGTGGTCGACGGACGGCTCTTCGCGGCTCATGGGCAGTAGGCACACCCACGTCGACCTTCGTATATACGACCATATTTGCAGCGGGTCTGGCTGTCGATGCGAAAGCAAAAGCTGCTAGGAACAAACAATGGGACAAAGCATTCTCGCAGCTGGCCGGAAGTGCCCATCATCCGTCTTCAGTAGAAGATTGCAAAGACACAGAAGCGGCGACGGATGCTGTTTCCTTACCCCATGGTAACCACGGCTTGACCTTGGATGATCTACCCAGGGACCTGGACTGGAATGCCCTGCAGCGCGTTGTAGGCATGGAATTGGAAGAAGACCAGGTGCTGGAAACTCAAGAAATCCAGTCGCAAATTCGAGATTACGCCGACTTGGCTTGGGAAGATCTGCAATTCGATTCTAGATTTCCAGGCGTTCAGCAGTTAGATTGGCCAGCAAACACCGGCGCTGATCTTATACGCAACAACTTGCCACCACAGTCATTATGGGCGCCAGATCGAATGCGTGTTATAGCGCTACGAAGAAGACATACATGGAAAAAGTTGGCCATGCAAGAGCTGTCCGTTGGGCTGCTCATACACGATCTGTTGTATCACACCAACGCTACCCGCTTCTCTAGAACTCTAAGTGATGAGTTCGCCAAGTTGTCGCACCAGATCCAGGACGCCATATCCATGACCCCGGACCAACGCACGCAATCGCGTCAGAACATATTAGAGGCCCTCGAAAATCTCGACAAGACCCCGGTCGACAGCGAAGTGGATGGTTATGTCAACGCCCGAATCCAGGCGGACCACCCAGCAATTCCAAGATATTATCAAGACCCTGACGGGGACTTTTATGCCATCGCAGACCAAATGAACCAAGGCATCCAAGGCTTGCTCAAGGAAATCCCCCATGGCAGTGACAAGAAAGAAGCTCTGGCGGTTGCAAAGATTTGCCACAACCTTCTTGTCTCCTCCGCTTCCCCTGATTTACAAACATTCAACACCTTACTCATTGGCTTCCGCCGTTGGCGTCGCCCAAAGCTAGTGGATCATGTTGCAGCATCTCTACTGGTCAGCAAGATCCGCCCGAATGAGATTACTTGTCGGGAACTACTCAATCACTATGCTTCTGCAAGACATGGGTACGCTGACGACTTCTCGCGTTTCATAACGAAGATGAGAGGGTTGGACGATGCGCTGATGCTCGCAAACCCCAACATCTCCATCAACGAGGCCAGCCAAGGCCGACTCGTAAGGGTAACCGAAGGGAAGATTTATCAGAAGGTCTACCCAACGCCTATGGTATTCAGCTCCTTGATCACTGGCGTCATGAGATTTGCTGGATTCGACCGAGCACTTGATATCTACTACGAGATGAAAACGGATGGCTGGGGTCTCGACGTGACGGGGCTGACAAGACTTTTGAACGATTGTATCCGCCGTGCCGATTGGGAAGGCGGCTTGTACGTGTGGGGCGAGATAAATAGCATCAACAAAGCCAAGATCGAACCCCATGACATGGCCAAAGCATACTCCAACATGCTCAGCTTATGTTCCATCACTGGCAACACTATTGCTTTCAACCAGATCCTGAATGATCTGTCCAAAGAAGGTTTCGATCGCGGGGAAATCCTGACTGCTGCTGCCAAGGCAACGGGTGTAGCGCGAAAGAAGAAGGAATACCTCGCTCCTGCTTGGGTCGCGGACAATGTCATGATTGCCGCGTCCGCCTACGTGAAGGACGCGCGATCGTCAGGGCCGGAGGGACCGCTTGCACCAGAGATGATGGATGATGATAACATCATGTTCTCTCAACACGAACCTGATGCGATGGGGGATATCGAGCATAGTATTGCGGAGCCTGATCCTAAAGAACTGTGGGCACAATGGCTGGAACGTGAGTTCGGGGAGAGACCAAAGGAACCTGAGCCATGAGCCAAAATCGACCTGTATGATACGACATAATGCGTGTATACCAGTGTATATATTATAGTTCTAGAACGGCTTCTTTATCAAATGTACATCATAAAGTCCATTGACAGTTCTTTGGCGCAATCAACCACAAAAGAGCTCACGGATGCTGGAAACAGCGCCCACCCATCTCACCCTGCGCGTTCGCCCGCTGTTGCCGTCACATCCATAAGTTGGCTCAATGACGGGCCTCTACCATAAAAACGTTATCGTGTTCAAATTTCAAAATGTCACCCGACCGTTGCTTTGCCGGTTGTCTATTTAGATTAAACGCATGGGCAGCTTCATTTATCTTCTCGCTTCTGCAGCTCCATCACCAACACCAACGTGACTCTTTGGCAAGAGATATGTTGGCACGGCAGGTATTCGCTGCCAACTTCTGTTGCGGTCTTGGACATTTTTGACGGGGATGCGTGCGTAAGTGCAACATTCACTCCGCTTTGCTGACATACTAGAGGAACATCGTGTTTCTTCCATCTAGAAGTTTATGATCAATGTCTGGAGATGGAAACTTCATCTAGGTGAGAAGAGAATCTATCTATACAGCTTCTTTCTAGCCGAAAGTGGCAGCTGTTCTCCGATAACGTTGCTTGCATATCTGAAAATAGAAAGATGCACTATGGAGATCCTGCCAACGGCGATTTTACAGCAGGGATGCGCAAAGGAGTCCTCTGCTGCCTCTCATTTCTCAATCGGCTGTACGGCTACAAGCATCTTCCCCGGACTATGCATGTTGCTGGTTATGGTTTAGGAGTACTTTCGTATGTATGGTCTAGATTTTGATCATGGCCAACCCTATCTCACAGTCACCCAAGTAGCTAGGCATTCGCCTATCGTACCGTCTCCAGATTTTGCCTGATCGAAACAATCACTGGTTGGCCACTCTAACGTCACATTTACGGCAGATGGTACCTTTGTCGAAAGCTTGTGCGATGTAACAACAACGCTGATCAGGATAGCACAAGCCTGCACGATCGATTCCTTGCTTGCTTTGGAGAATGATGTGCAGGGTCTTCCTGTATAGAAGCCGTTCCATGCTGCATACGCATATTACGGTGTGGATTGGGCTAGAACGTGCTTTGGAAGTTGGGAGCTCGCGCATTTGTGCCCGTGGTGCTCCCGCGTTATTCTGGGGATGACTACTGTTGTGACGCAAGATAGTGTCCTGGATATACTTGATTCATCGTGATAGTACCGGTAGAACGACGTCGTAGCTGCGCCAGAGCATACTGGATGATCGTTCCTGTTGCCTGTGCATATTTGATGACAAGGGAATCCATCTAGCAAATAGGAGAGACGAAGTGTGAAGGACACAAGAGTCCTTCCTAGTCTTGTAATGTAAAGTTGACGATGTGTCTTCCCTACGTTTGTCGTATTTGGTGGTGGCAGGCACCATGTTCAAAGCGAATACTAGCAGCATCGACCAGTGCAGTACTCCAGAACATCGTATATCTCAATCTCTCAACCACCCCACATTTAGAATCCCAGTCAAATATACTATCCAATCTTCATACTCGCTTGACGCTGGCTGGACCGAGCATTCCCTAGCCACAAGAGGTAACGCAAGTACTTTACCCAGAGTGTTGCTTCCGTATCCAACAGCCTCGAACACTGACTATCCGCCCACCATCTTGGGCAGCTAGGGAGTGGCAACATCGCAAAGGGGCTGTCTGAAGTTTGGTTCAAATGATGCGCATAAATGAAGTATGCCGGTTTTTCTCCATTCTTGTGCCTCGTCCTTGCTATATATCGGCCGCGCAGATCCTGAGATTTCGCCTTGCAAGCGAACCCCACCCATTTCTTGTCCTTTTCCCACAATAGCACTTTACTGAATAAGAGAAAAGACAGGAGTTAAGATGCAGTACCGTTATGTATCCGTTCTTGCTGCCGGTGTGTTGGTTGGTGTTACTAGCGCCGCACCTGTGCCTTCTGTTGAGGTTCGTCATCACCATCTCGTCACCACGCCCTTGCGCCCACTAACGTACCCTAGGCGCAAACGTTCGGTAACGATCCAGCAAACACCATCGAATTAGGCAAACCTTCCACAGTCATAACTTGGGGCAAGCGCGACGACTCGCCCACCAACCCAGACGACGTGCAGCTCGGTCCACCAACATCAGAGATCATCTGGAGCAAAGACAAGAAACGCAGTGTCTCTTTCGGAACACCAAAGGACACTTTCACCATAGGCAAGCCCACGACGGAGGTTACGTGGGAGAAGAGAGACGAACCAGATACTATCGAAAACGGTGCACCGACGACCGTTGTGACGTGGGGTAAAGAGAAGCGCGCCGAGGTTGTGCAACCTGACACTATCGACTTGGGAAAACCTACTACTGAGGTTACGTGGGGAAAGAGGGATATGACTGCTGCTGCCGATCCCGCCGATAGCATTGAGCTTGGAAAACCCAGCACGGTTATCACTTGGGGCAAGGAGAAGCGCGATGATCCTCCCGTGTTGGGCCAGCCGGATTCAGAGACAACGTGGAGTAAGCGTGAGGCTGAGAAGCCAAGGACGTCTTCAAGTTGGGTAAGGCTACTACGGTTGTAACATGGTCTTGAGTGTGTCGGTCGGTCTTGTGGTGAGTCTCCTATCGTTGCCCTGATGGTGAATAGATGCTAAAGATATTACAGCAGCTAGACAATGTAATCTTCTGATTGAAGTTTGTAGAGTTTGGAGCCAGAATCCACTGTCGCTACTTCGCTGGATCCTGTAGCTGGGGTACAAAATTCCGAAATCTGTATAGCCTCCCGGCTGTTTAGTTGTTCCAATATATCTTCGATCAATAGCTTTACTTGTGTAGAAGACTTGGTGACGCATTGCATTATGTGGAATTTGCTAGAAATATCCGGATCGAAAACCAGGTACACATGAAAATGCATGCGTGCTGGCAGTACGAGTATATCTCCTATCACTTCTCATAGTTCTGCCGGAGGTTTTGTAATCTTTGTCAAATGATCCCCATTAAGCTCTTTCATGATCTTTCCTAGACCTTCATGACTATAGTCCTTCTCATTCCACATATCCTGTCCAAGGTCAGTAGTTGCCTTTTGTCGCCACTCAAGAAGGTGCACACGATGCGCTACCCATGACTATCAACGTACCTTATGATACCGCACTTTACCGTCCTGATCAAGCGTCAAAGTGATCAGGCTGTTGACCTTCTTCGAGATAGGCATAGGCTTGGGTGTATACTCTTGCTGTAGCTTAAAAATAATTTCATCAGGCTTCGACGAAAGCACTTCCGTCTTGATTGTCCGGCTACTCTTCATCAGTTTGGGAATGCCTGTTACCTATCAGTAGAGTGACCTTTTCGCGCTAGGCTTTCTGTTGTCAGCTACTGACCATACCACTGGCCCGCGATCTTGTATCTTGTGTCGCAGTAGCTCCAGGGATCATCGTATACCGCTTCTTTGCCGTACACCATCATGTCGTCTTCGCTTGCGCTCCCGGAGTAGAGGTTGCATATCGATTGTACAATCTTTTCGCGCTCGGGATTTAGTTTGATCGAGTTCTCTGGGTGAGGCTCATAGTCAACGCCTGAAGAGCTGTTTTGCGACTCATCGGCGTTGTGCGTCAGAGCCACTGGGTCCGGTCGTTTCTCGAACTCGTCCTCGAGGCGTGATGCGAGTGTGTCCTTTCCGGACTTTCCTGTCACTGGGAGCGTCATCTTGTTTCCTGGAAGAAGGTAGTTGTACTTATGTAGCCGCTGGTCTGTGAAAATGCTGCTTTTGATGGACGCAATATCTTGACGTCATGGCTGGCTGCGTTTACGAACGCTCCACGGACCACATAACATGTACCTTGAACCGTCCAATAGTGGCCATGCTTTATTCATAACAAGCGTCACATTTGTAAAGCAACGAGATCAACAGTTTAGACAAGCCAAGAGTGCAATAAACGGTGTGCTATCCATCGATATGAATCGGCCATTTCTCCACAGCCTCATAGACTAGCAATAAACTACCCATAAGATAGACTGTCGGCGCCCAGACCAGAGCAAGTGTGCTCTGGTACTCGCACCATGTTGCACTACAGTATCCCAAACAAGCACTCCATACCCATCCTACACTGCCAACCAGGTTTGTCATTCCCACCCACCACCCTATCATCTTAGGAGCGGGCTTCCACCACTGTCTTTGGACTTCGAATATGTATAATATCGATGCGACGAAGAAGCAAATGGCGCCCAGGAGGAAGGAGGGATAGTAGACCCCGTACAGTACGCCTTGTGGGAGGGTGTCATAAATTCCCGGTAGGGTGAGCAGATTGGTGACCCAGTAAACGGCTGTCCCAACAAAGAGGATGAGATTGGCATTGAAACCAATCTCCCGACGATAGTGAACGCGAACATCCTGCCACGTAGGCCACCATTTCCAGGTCTGCTCGGGTCCCGACTCGGGACGAGCTTCGACTCTAAATGTCTTTGTGTGCATTATCCGGTGCTTCATGCGGTCGGGGTTGTGAATATGTGTGCAGTTTCGAAGGTCAGGTTGGAAGTCAGAGCTATTTGTGCCCTTCTCTTCGTCGGCAGAAGCGCGGTCGACATTCTCGCCATCAGAATTCAGGGCTCCCTTTAGTGCCCAACCAAAACAGTCGCTTTGGTTTGCGTTTACGGCTTCGACGACGAGGAGCATGCCACCCAGCAGAAACAGCATGCCACGGACGAAGGATATCACGCCGCTGATGATGGAGGGGTCGGCACCAAATGACGCGTCTGGGTATGCGATCGGGAGCCATTGGAGAACACCGGCCGTTATGGAGCACATGGAGCCAGTAGAGAAGACGATGCCAATCCACCATGACACATCCCACCAGGCTACGACTGTAAGCATTCTGGCAAACGCTCGAAGGAGGCGTGTAGTGCGGGCGGTGCGCGAGGGCGCTTGAGCGTGGGTAAGAAGGAGGATATGTCGACCTAGGAACAGAATTTGTTAGCATTCGATGCCTGGGTCAGCAGGCATCTAGCCACATACCTTTTCGATTCTCACGACTCCACCACTCCCATTCGGTTCCGCTCGCGTGCCCTTGCTCATCATTGACGGTGAACCGCCGCGAATTGGCATTCTGAAAGCTCAAGACTTGATTGGAACTGCCCTCGATGTAGTCGAGCTGCGGCGAAGAATCCTGAGAGGAGAGCTTGTGGTCGCTAGGCGCAGACATGTATTGGGTACGTTGATGTGTGAAGGAACTGCAATTGGGTTGGGCATGGGAAGGACTTCATGCCCCTTGTCACCGCCATGTTTCCTGCCCCATTTTGTAACCCTGGAAAATTGACGTCTCGGAAGAAAAACCTCAGGCCACTGCCTCAGAGATGATGATGCGTGATGTCATGGTGTGGAGAAGTTGGTGTCTGGGGTCTGGAGCTGTCTGCTAGCGTCTGGAGACTTCACATGCCAAGGCAATGCTGCAAAGATCGCCATGACTAATGCGAGATTGGCATCTCACCTCTGAGCATCTTTCGTGAAACAAACCAAGCTTCCGGAAATCGCCCGTATCAGTAATCCTTCCTACGCTGCTGTAGTCTCTGACTCTTTGCACGCGAATAAGATTGCAATGCAAGCGCGCGTGAAGGAGTTCGGGTCAATGCGATGCGATCCTTCTCGCCTGTATCTGGTCCTCATAAACAGACCCGCACTCGCTGCGCGCGCCTACGTTCATCAAGCGCAGAACCTTACATTTGCAGCTCCGGTCGTCTTTCTTACACAGACCATATGCTACGACTCTTGCGCAGGGCCGAGTACAGGTCATGCCCAAGACTGGTGGGCGTTCACAGCCCACGGATCTACCTTGTTGGGAGTGTCTATATGAAAGCGCGACGCGTACAATATCCCTTAGCTTTTGTGTATAGTCTTCCAAGCGATGCCGTTAGATTGTTTTCGCTCTGAATTCCAATGGAAAAGTAGCGATGGCTTCATTTCGGGCGCTTGGTAGGACGGCTGCTTCGGCGCCGAAGTGTACTCATGCAAACAACTTTCCCACCAAACGGCACACTCCGGAAGTGTATAGGAAGGTAATGTATCCATCAGATATAAGACTAGCGATGCGCGCGCTCTTGTAGACTGTAGAACAATAGTTCTTACACCAAATTCCATAACACGTTCGTTATCACCTCGATTCGCCATGGGTCTTCGCCACTCTTTCAAGCCCCAAGGTGCACTTCGCCTTTTTTCCAACATTGTCGTTGCTGGTTCTCTTCTCTCTGGCGCAGTAGCTCAGGATGATTCTACTAGGCTCCGAGACTGCTTGAGCAACACTAGCATCCTGCCCTCCCTAACCACCTTTTCTGATGCCACAAACTGGGAGACCGTCACCTCCCCATGGGCCCTACGATTCAATCCTGAACCAGCCGCTGTTGTTGTGCCTCGCAATAGGGATGAAGTGGCTGCTGCTCTAGCTTGTGCCGTCGAAGCAGGTGTAAAGGTTTCGCCATTGAACGGAGGACATTCCTATGGAGCCTATGGCCTTGGAGGGGTTGACGGCGCACTTGTGATCAACATGGAGCGCTTCACCGAAACCACTTTTGACTCGGCAAAGAACCTGTTCACGTATGTCTCATCGAAGCCAAGAATTAGATCCATTATGCTAACAATCGCAGTTACGGCGGAGGAAGCCGAGTTGGACCTGCCGCAACATGGCTCTGGGAAAACCATGGGCGTCACTTCCCTCACGTCAGAGCCAACTGGGTCGGTCTCTCCGGTTCGTCGATTGGGGGTGGCTTTGGTACCACCAGTCGTTTCCTCGGCACCCCGATGGACAACCTCGATAGTGTTGACGTGATGCTCTATAATGGCACTATCGTGACTGCCTCCCGCACGGAGAATCCCGACCTGTTTTTTGTCATCCAAGGCGCTGGCTCATCCTATGGTATCATTCTCTCTCTGACTACCCGTACCTGGAAGCCAGAGTTTGAGGTTGCCACCAACTTCACAATCTCGCTCGGTGCTGTAGACATTGATACCGGTGTCCAAGCCTTGATGGATATCCAAGAGTGGGCCATGACTGAAGCTCCCGATACCTTCGCTCTGCGATGGCAGCTTGCTGGCGAGTGGAATGGCAGCGGCTACTTCTACGGTAACCCAGATGAGTTCGATGCCCTCTTCGCAAGCCTTGTTGAACGCCTCCCCAACACCACGACTACGACCAAAACAACTGCGGACTTCTGGGCCATGGAGAACTTCGCCGCTCCCCTACTCAACGGAACCGCCGACACCTTCCCTCCGCGTAGCATGTACCTGCAAGCCCTTGTTCTTCGCAAGGACCAACCTTTCACATTTGAGTCCGCTAAGGCTCTGTACCAGTACACCACCCTCGCGTTCAACCGCACTGACCTGACCGAGTTCGGCTTCCTGGACCTGTGGGGCGGTGTCTCCCGCGATGTCGATGACTCCAAGCAAGCCATGGCATACTCCAACAACCAATGGCTCATCCGCTGGGAGGGACGTCTCGCCAACGGCCTGACTCAGTGGCCCGCTGACGGTATTGAGTACATGCAAGCTGGTTTCAGACCGTTCAAGGAGCAGCTGAAGAAGGAGGGTATACCGCTTAGG